ATTATATTATCAATTTCCTCATGCGCGTATAACGAAAGCAGAGAATGAGAAAAATGGCGAAGTTACGAAGGCCAGAAACGGCGACTATGCAATAGTATGGTAAAACATTAACTTTATCGCTTACAATCTATATTTTCTCCTTTTACAACTATAGGAAACACGAGGTTTATTAGTATTTCAGACAGGTAATTCCTGTTCTATCTACCTTGCAACTCGATTTAACGGAGCAGCCGGCATTCGCGAAACAATGAAATTATACGTAATGATATTGAGCGTTGCAGTATCGTGCGAGTCGTATACTCGACGAGAGATAATATTCGATAAAAGAATACAAATGATCCCGAAATCTGAATCCCATCGTATTTAGACCAGAACACAATGTACATCCAACAAGATCGAGTTCAGAATACAAATTGTCATTTTTTAATTAGATGAACCTATCGGATAAAAATTTCAAATTTTCAAGTCTTCTCTTCATTGATTGCTTAATTTAAAATAAAATTATTATCTTTTTTAACTACAATTTCTAAAAAATTTATTCTTAACAAACTTTTTTAATTATAGCTGCAGTATAGACACTGTAAATGTATTATTTTAATCTAAATGCGAGAACACTCATGCCTTTCCGAAATTCATATAACATTACATGCTGCAAATGCACCTTTTCGTTCTCCATTTTTAATGATTTCTCTTATGCACAAATGGACTTATCTGAACAATGTTTGACGCTAAATTGACATAAGACAACGTCATCTATTCGGTGTAAGCAACAATTACCACACGAAAACAATAGAACTCCGCCATGCAGTAACTTAATGCCATCTATGAAAATCGGGCACGAACTTATGCAATCATCCAATATTATTTTAATCTAAATGCGAGAAGAAAAATATTTTGCAATACCGAGAGAAACAACGAATCGATCGGCAAAAAAATAATTCTGTCAACCGGAAGTAGGAAATAAACTCGTTTGGCCGTTAGAAATGGACACAGTAAAAAATACCTTTTCGATATGGAGCATAACTAACCGCGTCCGTGTCGACGAAACCTTCGCCGAAAAACATCCGGCAAACCGCGACGTCAACGTTCCCTTCGTTACGACTGCTCGTCACGCAGGTCGTTCCTCGGATATGGAAACCGAGAATTACGAGAACGGGGGAAGTTCAGGCTTTATCTCAGGCCTTTATTACATCGGCTGTCAGGCGGTGTGTACGAGAACGCGTGCCGCAGAAACACGTGCGATTTAACTCGCGACGACAATAATTGCGCGCTGCACTTTACGACCGATCGTCACGCCGGCCGGTATCATTGATTCCAAAATTATTCTCTGTCTTTCTCATTTAGTTTTTATCGCACGATGCCCGCGAGCCCGTGGCTAATAATTTTCTAGCAAATCATTACGTCCGGATAATTGCGTTTTGATCGGGAGACAAACCTACCGTTGTTGTTGACGTTGAAAATCGGAACTTGTCTGGCTAGGTGCCGCTTCCGTGATAATTCACTTTTTTTTCGGGTGTTTCGCGAGATATCGCCGCGGAAAACACACGATATCGTCAGGCAGGACGATAATTACGCGCGCGTGTAAACGACTTGTCGTCACGCGAATTGTACATTAATCCGCCGCGCCGGTCGAGAGGAGAGAAACTCGCCCACTCGGCAGAAAAATAGGAATGTACATTTTATTATAATTACGCGAGCGATACAATCACACACATTGTTGGGTGTCGTGACCTATTTATGTTGCAGTCACTGCATTTAATGTCGATAACAGTAATAATCCGCCTGATAAAGAACACGTCGACTATAGTTTTGCATTCAATTGCATACTGACTGAGCGTAATATTTTTCACTTGCGTCAATGAATTTCATGCGTTTAATATTCTTAATTAATACATATTAAATGGCAGTATGTGAATTGAATATTAGTGAATTTAAGCACTTGATCAAAAAACAAAATAAGAAAAAAATACACGTTTTTTATCTCACAAGTGCGATGGAATTTTCAGATATATTCGTCAGAAGCAATCAACTCGAATTCCAACGTTTCTTAACCCTCGTACGTGATTTCTATATTTTATCCCTACTCGATAGATGGCAATCGTCGTGTCTTCGCCGCTGAGATTTATTACATCGCGGCTTTAGGCAGAAGCGAGCAATTTACATTTCCCGCTACACGTACGTTCGGTTTCTGCGGCTCGACGGTATATCCAAACGTCGAGACGTCTCCCCGACTGCTATGCTCCTCGTCGAAATTACCAGGGATTACGTACGAAGGAATTGCCCGACGTGCAGTACGGCGGCGACGACGAAATAGTGTACTCACGGCACGCTATTAGAAACAGCAATAATCGCCAGAAAAAAACTTGTAATTGGAAAATTTGACGTATTATAAATTTTTGAACATATAGTTCGTTACTTAATATTTTTCATAGAAAATAATAGATCTTACAAATATAAGTCTAAAAATCTAATTTCAAATGCGAAAAGTATATATACTGATTGATACATGCTAAGAAACAGAGTCGTACTACTGTAAACGAATCGATCGGCAAAAAAATAATTCTGTCAACCGGAAGTAGGAAATAAACTCGTTTGGCCGTTAGAAATGGACACAGTAAAAAATACCTTTTCGATATGGAGCATAACTAACCGCGTCCGTGTCGACGAAACCTTCGCCGAAAAACATCCGGCAAACCGCGACGTCAACGTTCCCTTCGTTACGACTGCTCGTCACGCAGGTCGTTCCTCGGATATGGAAACCGAGAATTACGAGAACGGGGGAAGTTCAGGCTTTATCTCAGGCCTTTATTACATCGGCTGTCAGGCGGTGTGTACGAGAACGCGTGCCGCAGAAACACGTGCGATTTAACTCGCGACGACAATAATTGCGCGCTGCACTTTACGACCGATCGTCACGCCGGCCGGTATCATTGATTCCAAAATTATTCTCTGTCTTTCTCATTTAGTTTTTATCGCACGATGCCCGCGAGCCCGTGGCTAATAATTTTCTAGCAAATCATTACGTCCGGATAATTGCGTTTTGATCGGGAGACAAACCTACCGTTGTTGTTGACGTTGAAAATCGGAACTTGTCTGGCTAGGTGCCGCTTCCGTGATAATTCACTTTTTTTTCGGGTGTTTCGCGAGATATCGCCGCGGAAAACACACGATATCGTCAGGCAGGACGATAATTACGCGCGCGTGTAAACGACTTGTCGTCACGCGAATTGTACATTAATCCGCCGCGCCGGTCGAGAGGAGAGAAACTCGCCCACTCGGCAGAAAAATAGGAATGTACATTTTATTATAATTACGCGAGCGATACAATCACACACATTGTTGGGTGTCGTGACCTATTTATGTTGCAGTCACTGCATTTAATGTCGATAACAGTAATAATCCGCCTGATAAAGAACACGTCGACTATAGTTTTGCATTCAATTGCATACTGACTGAGCGTAATATTTTTCACTTGCGTCAATGAATTTCATGCGTTTAATATTCTTAATTAATACATATTAAATGGCAGTATGTGAATTGAATATTAGTGAATTTAAGCACTTGATCAAAAAACAAAATAAGAAAAAAATACACGTTTTTTATCTCACAAGTGCGATGGAATTTTCAGATATATTCGTCAGAAGCAATCAACTCGAATTCCAACGTTTCTTAACCCTCGTACGTGATTTCTATATTTTATCCCTACTCGATAGATGGCAATCGTCGTGTCTTCGCCGCTGAGATTTATTACATCGCGGCTTTAGGCAGAAGCGAGCAATTTACATTTCCCGCTACACGTACGTTCGGTTTCTGCGGCTCGACGGTATATCCAAACGTCGAGACGTCTCCCCGACTGCTATGCTCCTCGTCGAAATTACCAGGGATTACGTACGAAGGAATTGCCCGACGTGCAGTACGGCGGCGACGACGAAATAGTGTACTCACGGCACGCTATTAGAAACAGCAATAATCGCCAGAAAAAAACTTGTAATTGGAAAATTTGACGTATTATAAATTTTTGAACATATAGTTCGTTACTTAATATTTTTCATAGAAAATAATAGATCTTACAAATATAAGTCTAAAAATCTAATTTCAAATGCGAAAAGTATATATACTGATTGATACATGCTAAGAAACAGAGTCGTACTACTGTAGTGAAAATTATTGCTTAGCCATTGTCAACCAACATATTTTACTTTGTTAATTATTATATTTAATAAATTATATCATTTTCTTTTCGCCTTGCTCACGAAGATTTATCAAAAATTTAATTTTCAAATTAATTTTTTTCCTTTTGAACACAAGAAAAACTTATTTCTTTTTTAATGAAATATTATAATAATTAGAAAAAAATATATATCTCTGTTATATAAAAAAAATAATTGCTAGATGTCTTATCTCATTGACGCATCTCGGTACGTTATCTCATTTTAATCATCGCGAGAGATCACTATCTAAAATTTCGCAAAAATACGAGTGAGTAGTGTTTAATGGGCCCCCACTGGCTACCGTCGTGTTCAAAGGACGGTGGAATCCTTCAAAGGATCACTGGCATCGTGCCTCATTAGCATTTAAGATTGCGAAAGACCGAGCGTAGCATGTCCTTCGTTCTTTTTACTGCGTACGGCAATGCAAACGCGGTCGTTGCCGACTTTTTTTCACGGTAATTGGGTCAAGACCGAAGGTGCGGGGCTAGACGCACGAGATGATGGACGAAGAAACGAGAATATCCGATACAGAAAAAAGGCAGAGACAAGGCTGACGAAGGCTGACTTCTCGTCGAAACGAAGTGGCTTGAAATTAGTTTACCTTTGGAAACCAATTTCTCTCTTTTTCGTTGCCCTTCTCTCGTCTGCCACTTCCTGTCTGACATAAGAGCGATTTTTCTCCTGTAAGAGGAGGGGTCCGCTCTCCGATGGGTAACGAGAGACGAAATTGCCGAAGGGAGGAAAAATAATAAATGAACGATATGGGACGCGAAAAGATCAATGGCTGATAATACGGTAAATAAAACAGTCGTTTCCCTGTCGCGTTTATGCAACAAACTGTGCATTACGTGCAACAGGCCCTTATTGATAGTCCGCTTTAATTAAATACATTCTATTTTAATACATACTTGATGATACCAATCGCCATAACGAGCAGAAAAACGCTGTAATAAATGTGGCAGACCTTTTAATGGATTTGTTAAACGGCTAGGTCGACAAACTCTGCAACAGAAAATTAACAACATCATTAATTTATCACTGACAGACTTTAATAATTCATTGAGACTTATTAGCTATTACGTGACAAGTCTTGTTGGAAAATCGATATTTAAATATCATTTTCCTATAAAGCCATGTTGAAGAAAATATCACGATTCGAAATGTCAAGTGACGAATATAAGAAACTGAGAGAGTAATATTTTTAAAATAAATTTTGATGCTTTTTATTATGCATTTTATCACTCTTTCACCATTTCATTAATCACACAACTTATCCCGTATGTAAAATTTATAATACACATTTACTTATAATATACATTTATTTTCATTAATGTATACAAAAACATATGATTATGACGATGAAGTTATTTGCGGATTTGCACATATCCGTTCTCATAAATTGAGAAATGTATCAAATGTTTCTGATTTATCTAAGAAAGAAGAAAGAAAAATAAAAGGAAAAAGAGAGAAGAAGGGACACTGGTAAAAGTTAGTAGCGCGAAGAAATTTATGACTATCATTCTTCACGGTACGTCAAGCTGTGTTCCTTACGGCCTGACTGCTATAATCTAGGCACTTAGCATCTTGGGGTCTAACCGCGATACTTTTCAGCACGGAAGAACGCTATCTTCGCAATTTTCAGAGAAAAAGTGTACACTTTGAGAAAATTGTCGCCAACAATCGCGAAATTATTTATAAAAATATCGAATACGATCACGAATTAGAGATTTTTAACACAAAGTCAAATTTTGATAATTCCATCGATTATCGATAATTTTGCAAGTGCGTATCTCCATCGACGCATCGCGACTGACAGAATCAATAATCGGTCAATATTAGGGAAGAAGGGCCAAGTAGTTGGATAAAAGACGACCGAAAGACGGCAAGAGCGAGCGAGATGCCGCAATCGCCATTAACCAGACCAACCGCGAGTCAGGCCGAGCATTTCAAGTTGTTGCTTTCCACGTCGCTTGACGCCGCAATATTAACCGTATAACATGTACGACCGCCATTATACAGCCATTACAACGTCACACCGTTGTACCAACGTATTATACCGCAAGCGCGACGCTCGCTCGGTCCGGGCTAAAGTAGCGTGCGGCACGCTTCTACTCTATCCGCTATCGCTACTTGACTGACAACCCTAACTGACGCAGGATCCCTTTTGCACAAGCCAACCAGTGAGCCAGTCCGCCTAACCAACCTTCCTCTCCCTTCGCCGTTGCCTCTGCCACCTTCCCTTACCGTGCATTTTACCCTCTTAACCCGTACCTTTGTTAGCGAGACGACCACGGAAGTATTACGTTACCCTATGTACAGGTACTTCTTGTCATAGTGCTTGCATACTGAATCGCGAAATTCCGTCCGACTGAGATAAGACGCATATCGAGGCACATGTTTGCGAGAGAGCAGAAAGGATAGCAGAAGAAATAAAGTTCTCGGATTATAGATCAGGAAATACTTGAGACTTTTACATTGCACAAGTGTGCATAAATTAATTCGTGGAAAGTAAATTTTATCATGTTAATGTGTGTGATTGATAGAGAAATAAAGAACAAACTTGATAATCTTGCTTGTAGTAAATTCTATGTGAGAAACAATCATTTATTCTAATAAATTTAAAAAAAAAATTAAAAAGATATATAAGGTGTGTCTTTTTTATATACAATATATAATAATATCGAAAGAAAAATTGTACTAAATATATCTGAAAAATTGATGATTAATATTTTATTATGATGTTAATAAATAAATTCTTTATATATCTTCAAGAAATAAAAACATAATAAGTATACTATTTTTCTTCCGAATTAACTTCTAATCGTCGAGGTACGGAATTGTGTTCGTATCACCCTATAGATACTTCATCGTCGGGGAAAATTCAACGCTGATGGGATTGCATTTGCCACGTCTCGCGAAAATCAGATTTGTCGGTAGTACACCCCTTGCGCGAGGGATGAAATGCCCCTGACCCATTTCATGGCGTAAATTTCGTTCGAATCGCCTGGAGGTCTTCACTGTGTAAATTCCTTAACGGCCGAGTCAGAAACTTTAGCCCCTCAGCTTGTCCCGAGGCTGGACATTTAGATGGTTTTATAACGATATATCGAGTATAAATATGTCTGATTGTATGTATGCATATATATTTATGTTATCTTATTTTTTTTTTGCAATTTTGCAGCAATATAGATATACTTTAAAAGAAATATTACTGATTTTATGAAAATGTTGTTTACATCTTTCGGAGAATGTAATGTTATTTTTATTTTAATTTACACATTTATTAATATAATATATTAATTTACTTAATACTGAACTAATATTCTTAGCATGAAAATATTGATTAGTAATTAGATTACAATGATATACTAGTAATATATAAAAATATAAATAATAAATTCGTTTTTTGTCTCTCTCTCTCTATTCGTATATTAAATTAATAAATTAATCTAATGTTTGCGTGGCATATTTCTTTTCTTATCTGTAAGAGATACGGCCAACTTATATGCGAGATCGATTGCTGTTGGAAGCCGAACATCAAAATTGCCCCAGGACAATCGCTGAGACGATTACTATAATTTTAACGAAGGGTTTCATACTGGGAATCACTCCCTCCGGATGACAATTACGTAAATAAACCGCGTTCGGCATATAATCTTCGGTTAAAGAGCAATCATAGGTCGCGAAGGCTTTGATGATATTCGTCGTCGAAGTTATACTCCCTCGGGTCTTCACTTCTCGTCTCTTTCAACCGAAAGCCACAAAATGCTAGACTATGCAGTACCACAGTTCACCTTGTTGGAAACAAGAGTCGAGATATATTCCAGTTACAATAATTAGTTTTCATCATCCCTCATAACACATATTCACGTAAAAGCGCTTTACGATCTGTCGATAAAATTTTGTTCAACAATGGCCAATGATTTTATAATGCTATCACAGAGAAAGAAATATAATCGAGTCTCCGTTTAATTTCATCAACGTAGTAAATTAAAGCCAAAATTTCAAATTTAATATATAAGAAAGAATGTAATAAAAATCAAATTATAATAAATAAAAGCAATTGTCGTAAATTGTTATACATTTTTTTCTTATTCTAATATAAAATTATTTAAACATCTGTGCTTCTCTCTGTCTTTCTCTTTCAACAATAATAGAAAAATAGATATTTTAAAATTCATTGTTTTTTTATTATATAATTTATATATTTTTTTCATTATTATAAAATATATGAATTATTTATAAAATTCACAAACTTATTTTCAATCTCGCAATGCATGTATTTTTTATCGAAATATTTAATCTTGAATAAATATACTCTGCATAATGCGTACAGGATGTACTTTAGGTTGCTATCAAATCCTTACAGGTTGCTCAACTTTTGCACTAAACCCGTGCTGGCATTGTCTCGCCGGTTCTCCGGTGTCCTCAATAATTGTTATTATGGATCATTACAAAACTTTTGACGGGCGTAAAGCAGTGCGCGACATCGTTGATATTCGAGTGTGTACTTGTATGAATTCATGGGCTAGATGGTAATTTCGCTTTATGAATACCGGATCAAACCATAAATTCTTGGCATTCGACTGAGATCTCATTGTGTAGGTTTCATATTCTTTTTTGCAAAATTTATATAATAATATTAACTAGTAACAAATGCAACAATGTATATAAATGTCAATCGAGCTTAAAATCTCTGAGAGAGAAAAAGAGAGAGATATGATGTTCATTTCAATATAATTTGATTAACGTTATTTAATTCTCATTTTCCATATTTGAAATATATTCGACAGTCTATATTATTGTACATATATTTTACTGTAACGCTTCGTATTATTCATAAATTCGCGTATTTGTATCTGTTTTCTTTTTTCCCTTCCGTCCTTCACTGAATTTCACTATCAACTTTTCATTTTGTAAGCGCGTTTAATTTCCATATTTTCTCGCATTTTTAAACGTCACTCTCAGTTCACAAAATAATTTGCAACAACGTCTTGCTTCGCGTTACATTGCGTTTATCGCGTTACATTGTTTATCGTCGACACGCAAATCGATCATTGCTTGATTCTATCGTGCAGACGATGACCCCCGATCGAGAGCTCGACGAGAATTTATATGGAACTTTGCGCGACATATCGCTCATTTATAAACGCCGAACACGTCGCGCCATGATCGTAAATTGGCGGATAATACTTCCGTGGACGAGTGCTGCCATAAAACACTCGTATGTTGTAACGTAACGTGTGTACGACACATATAAACGTCTCGGCCTTCGAGCGTTAAAAAATTAATGCGTTGCTTCCGTTGCAAGTGCCATTTCCGATAGCGCTATTTGGTTTGTCATATGTGAAAAACATTCTTTAATGGCTCGTAACATTATTCGTTATAATTAATGAGACACCCTTGCTAAATAAATTTACGGTCTATTTTATATATACACACGACTATTTAAAAAATTTAGAAATTAATATACAGGATGTTAAAAAAACCAATATTTCAATATTTATAGATAAACATAAGTTAAAAACTCAACCGTTTTTGAGATATAATCATTTTTGTATGCTAGTATCATAATTGACTTACTGGTTTCTACGTGTTGCAAAGATCCGCAATCGTCGGTTGACGACAACTGACTGATCGCCGGTGAAATCTTCTGTTATGAAATATGTATGGAAATTGAATAAAAACATTCAGAACGCGGTTTAGAAACACTGAAGTGTTTATCAACATCGCATGCCACATGTAGAAGCCAATAAATCAATCATGATGTTAACATACAAAAATGTTTATATCTCAGAAATGGTTGAGCTGTCGACCTATGTTTACTAAGGTTTTTTTACTCAGTATAATATGTCCTATCTACCATATAATTATTCAATGTTTTTTTTTTTAATCCTGTATAAAGTAATTTTAATTCTAAATTTTAACGAATACGTGTGTTACAAGTGAAGAACTTCGGACTATACATGTATATATCGACTGAAATTTTAAAATAAAACCAAAATCCAATGCGTAAAAGCATTTGAGCGACGAGTAACTTCAGTAAATTACTAGTCGGATTAAGTCCTTAATAAATCTTGGAGAGATCTCTATGATCACTAGCGCGTTGATCACAGTTTATCGCCGAGTTTCCATCCGAATCAGTTACATGTTTCAGGCTGGACCGCGAACTAATTAATTCCAACGTACCGGCGCGTAAATCTGGATTCATAGTCCGTGGAGAGGATGCATAAATTCGAGTAGAGTGGCGGTAAACCTCCCTATCCCCCTTTCCCGTTTCGAGGACTGTACGTACTTGTCCGAACTTTGATGATTACGAAACAGGCTTATAGGAGGCTTCCGTTCTCAAATGTAGTTTTTGGGCACTTTATTGCAGTACGTAAAATATCAACCGTTGGTATTTTCAGACATGATGAAGATTATTCTCATACACAGTACGAGTAGAAAGAAAAGAATATCGCGAGAGATATCAATTAAATTGAAATACGATTTAAAAACGTCTCGAGAAGACGTAAACATTAATTGTAAATTGCAGGAAAAATTAGATTTATTTCAAAATACCAAAGCACGAGTCATTAAGATTTCCTACACTATTTATAGAAAAACATTCTGTTATCTTATTTCTAATAAATAAAATCTTCACTAATGGATTGATTCTATTTCACAGAAATTTTTCGCAGATGTTTTACATCTATTTACTTTTAGAGCTATACGTTTGAAATTTAATGCAAGTTTCTTGTAAACTCAGAATTTCACGCCGCAAATTGTTGTGCGTAATGGCCGTAACGCCGTTGAGAACCGGAGCGGCTTTGGTGGCGCGAAGTGTCCTTCGATAGCCTCGAGGACCCGGGACCGATCCTCCTTCGTCCTGGTCCGTTCGAGCGGAACTGATATCCACCCTTGAAATCAGCTTCGTAACGAAATACCACGTGGCTGCAGGCAAGCACGTAGGGTTACCTCGCAGATAGCCGAGCTTCGGGAAACGGAAGGGACAGGAGAGGGCATCGGACTCACCTTCGAGAGCAGAGCACCCTTCGTGAAAGGGTGAAGTACATCGAGGAGATTCGTGCGATCGATGTATACGGGAGTTTCTCCAGCAATGTCGAGGGAGCCGTTTTATTTCCGGTCGCTCGATCAGTACCGCACCGGTCTTTTCGCAAAACTATTACACGGCGGGGCAAGAAACGACAAGAGGACGCCGGGGGGAGACCGACGGGGAGAATGTTGGGTGGTCGGGTGGATAGAAACAAAAAAGGCGCGCGTCTATTTTTTGTACCTGTGTGTCGTCGCAACGGCAGGAGCGTTCCCGCATGCAAAAGATAGGACGTGCACCGCAATCTGAACGAAATCTCCAAACCCAATTTCCTGGACAGACAGACAGACAGACGAACGGACCGGCGCGCGGTGTTGCGCGAACAAACCGTGGATTGTACCGACGACATCGATCTGGGTGCACCGGGGCCGGATGCGGCTTTAATAATGCATCGCCGTGACTTCGCGCGGAAGAACGCGTGCGGCGCGTCTTATCGCTCGGTTCGAGTTCGTTTAAATCACGCGCAAACATAAAATGTGGCGCAAATCGTAGATAAGAATAATTGAAGAGTTTCCTCTGGAAGGACAACTTAATATCATTCTATATACAGTTTTCTCTTCCCATGGTTTCCAATCGGTGTTATGCTCGATTGCATTCATGCAAAATGTTATTTCTTGAAAATAAACTTTTCGTGTTTGTAGAGATAATATAATATCGTATTCAGTTTTATCTGCATTATGATGTAAAATAATTAATTAGAATACTGAGAATAATATAAAACTAAACAATAAATTTTAGAATAAAACGTTACAATTCAAGAGAATAATTCACGAATGCGATCGAGGAAACCTAAACCGCTGTTGTGATAATTTGCAAAATGCTGAATTGACAAAAAATTACAAAATGTTGAAAGCCGCAGATAAGTGGGGTCGCAGGTCCATCCGATGTATGATTTTTAATAAAGCAACTTGTTTGCCCCCTTGAATGCTCAACTGTCCGTTCGATGTTTGCGAGCGATATTCGATTTCACGAGAGGCTAGCAAATATCTTCTCGCATATTTGGATACATGCATTTCTCCGCTATCATGTTACCCGGCATCCATCGTGGCTCGAATATCGTAATTAAATGTCGCGCTTTCAACATTTTAAAGCTGTGAAATGACCCTTCACCTTTTGTTCATTTTTTTACGATTATAAATTATCTTCTCAATTTATGTAGAACTGAAAGAAATTAACTCTTTCCATAAAAAATTCATATATTCATATATTAAAATAATTGTAACTGAAAAAAACCCGTAATATAAATGTTTTAATTAAATTTGAAATGTAGTAATGCATTACGCAACTTTTACATAACCTGGCGTAGATAATGAGTTATTATATTTCGTTATTATATTTCTATATTAATTATGTCATGTTATGTTAATCATGATATTTACATAAAATGATATAATTAGTAGACGTATTATATTATTTGTGTGTGTGTGTGTGTGTGTGTATGTGCAGATTGATATATAGCGATGATTGTTTAATTAAACACAATTTTCTTGTCTAATAATTTTACCCGATACACATTCAGCAAGTTCTGCAGCTCGTTCAATGACCGTAGGTCACAGTAATTTTAGATGACTTGACGTTCACTTGGCAGAAACTTTCTATCAGATAATTTTGATGAGAGCATTATTCGATGAGAGAGCGGAGCTAATTTATTATACAGTATTAACCTATTGAAGCGAATTCGCTGGACGCTTAAATGATGAGAAAGCTTTATCTTTAGTCACCAAATGTAATCTGCTGTCAGTCCAATTGACAAATTCCAAAACTAATTCAATTTCACAATAATTAATGCATTTATTGTCAACTACATTAATGCCCGCAATCACGATTGAAAAGTTATATCTACGATTACCGTCACTAAGTGAATAATGCGATTATAATTTTACTAAAACACATATTTTAAAATATTGATGAAGAAAATGAAAAGAAAACGAAAGAAAAGAAAAAATCTCTTTTCCTTTATTATATATATTTAATCTTAGAAAATGAATTTTTATATAACGTATTGTTGAATTTTGAGCAATTTCGTTGACTTATTGTATTTTGGATTTAACATTTAATTCGATTTAGAATCTTATCATACACGCTGATTTTGATAGAAAAGAAATTTAATTTTGAAATCTTTGTATATTATCTAGGTAAAAGTCATGCTGAGGGTATCGTCTGGAGACGGGGGCAGTTTTTTCAACGCGGATAAGCGGAAGAAGCAAGTTACCTTAGTGGACCCAGCATCCGGGCAATCTTCATCGGCAGAAGATCGACGGCCTACTGTGGCGGCGCCGAAAATGTTTGCGTTTGACGCTATCTTTACCGAGGAGGACTCCCAGGTATATAATTATAAATACAGAGAAATATATGTATATGTGTGTATTTATATATATTAAATATGATTATTTAATAAATATAATATCAAAGATTCAGAATAATGTTAGATATATCAAAAATAATTTGTTTTAATAGAACGTCTTCTAAAACTCACAATACGAATAAAAAAAGATTTGCAAAAATATGACTTAGGTGCAACATTACTTTATAAAATATTTGTCAAGTTTTAATGTTAGCTAGTACGCGAGTATAACTTTCATAAGTTTTTCACTCTATATGCTTCATCCAGCACACATGTGGAAATTTATCTGTCGCGGAAGATATCTGAAATATTGCGTTCGGATTAAGTCGATAGCGAACAGGACTTAATTTCTGCCATTCAGACTGTCCTGTTAACGTTTTAAATTTCAAATGGCACTCGAGTGCGGCGTAGCGAACAAAGCGGTACTTATAACGAGCGTGTTTAAGGTCGCTCGATAGTCGGGAAAATCCGTACGCGTGCACAAGAGAGAGAGAGAGAGAGAGAGAGAGAGAGAAAGAGACAGAGATCTCAAGTCAATGACGTCTTCGTCGGCCAGCTGTTTCTGGAGTAGCGAGTAGCAACAGCCCTCAATGGAGGGTGGTTGCTACTTCGTACTTGAAGCCGCTCTTCTTCTTTACTCGTTCGGTTTGTTCTCACTCCGGAAAATCTTCCACCCCTCCCCGTCCTTTTTCGATTGATTCCTGAAGGGCCACTAGCCGGCTCGATTCTTCGAGATTCATGAGAAGAAGAGCGTGGACCAAAGAAAAGACTCGAAAAAGTTTACGAAGAATAAAAGAAACACAGAGAGTCAGAGTAAAGAGAACTGAGAGAGAAAGAAGAAGAAAATAGTACGTGCTCTGACGAGATCTTACGTCCGTAGTGGAAACGTAAGAGGCGTCCCTGCCGGGCGCATAACTAAACTAATTTCCCGACCTCTAAACTCCACCTCCAACAGGAAAATCCATCCCTTCGGGCGAATGTTGCTCTTTGCCTGTGACTTCCCCGGTTGCTACCAAGCAAACCGAGCCCTGCCGACAGCATCCTCGGGACAGTTTATCGTGTTACCATATAGGCGGAATATTTTTCTACATTCTTTTTCATCTTGCAAAATCCGACAATATTACATAAAATACATTCTTTTTTTTCATCAGTAAGATCTTTGTAATTTCTTAAAATACATTCCTAAATAAAAGTTGATTTGATTTGTATAAAATATTTTCTCTTACATACATGTGAGAATAAATATATATTTTGTATATGAATAAATTAATAATGCAGTATTAAAACAGTTTCACTAAAGAGATAAATTTTTGACTGACCCCTGGATTAACTTGCCAATCGTTATCAGTAGCGCTGAAAATTATTATCGAAGCTTTCTCTGCGTGTCAACGATGCCGATGAATTGTATTATGCGACCTTGATGGATCGTACCGCTGGAGCAAATATCACTAGAGATCGTAAGCCACGCCACAGCACAACGTTATATACACATATTGAGATATTTCGGTACTCCTGAGGGACATTATTGAGCGTCTGATTCAAATGAGCCCGGAGCTACTGGATATTCCAGAATCCCTCTCTCGCGCTTCGCTCTGACAGCGCATATATATGTATATATATCTCTCTAGTTCTCTCTATCTCTTCATTCCTCTAGCCATATTCCTTAATCCAGAGAGACTATCCCACCTACACTTTCCCCTCTTCTCTTCTTCGTCTATTCCTCTCCCTCTCTTTTTCTTTAGCATTTCTCTTTCGCCTCGGTAATATTTAGAAGTACCATAGAAATCAATCGATTGATTCCATCAAATGTTCGTCGGCCACGGCGATTGTCATTGAAGGACACAATAGGCCTTTTCTCTTGTCCTCTTCCCACTCTGCCCTGACTCTTTTTTCGTTTCTCCCTTCGCGATCCATCGAACCGACTGCGGACCAGCTGGGCTTCTGGGGGTGAGCTCCATGGGATGAAAGAGCCGAATTCGAAAGAGCGAGTCCCGGCGTCCAGCGCGACTTTTCGTCCTTTCCGATTGGCCGTCAAACACACTCTCGCTTGAATATTTTAAAGACTACTGGGGCCGGCCGCCATTCTAACGGACAACCTACAATCGTTCATCATCAAACCAGCGATCTCTTTGACGTTTTTGTAGAATCGCGAGAATCGATGGCGCCGATCTCCGCCCTTCGTAAATCCCGTTATCCATATCAGACTTTACCAATGGACGATTGCGATCGTAACAATGAGTTTTTCTTTTTGACGTCAAGTGAACGTAAACGCAACGATGACTATTACAATAAAAATGAATCGTAATGAAATCTTTATATATATATTAGTTTCCGTGCCCAATTATTTCAATACAATAAAGAATTGTAATTTTAGCTTTTCGTAACATTATAAAAAGAGTTCAATAATATAAAGATTGGATTTTACACGTTATTCTTCTACCGACAAATGAAATAATCGTGATAGCAGGTGGATATTTATCAACAATGTCCACTCGTCGATGACGATAATTTTAGCGGTGACATAATCCGCTTGATACGCTATATTTGCGCGTTACATCGGCCGGTATCTGCATAAATACACCCTGCGGACATGTGATGTCCATATATATTTGAGCTCCAAGTTAACAAGGATATCTGCCGGCTAAAGAAAATACTATTAATCGAAATTGCAGTTGCACTTCTGTTTGCAAAGAGCAAAGAAACCACAAGCGCAATTTCTATTATTAACATTTCAACCAGTCAAACAGAGCTCGTAATGATGGCGTAAATTTTATTGGTGGGTTATTTAATAAAGTCCAGTAAAACTTTGATAAAGTCAGATTGATTTAAATTGATTTAAAAAAGTCGTTACAGGTCTATTTCCAACGGAAAGAAAGTATAGGAAATACGCGAGTGAGAAGCTGATGTCGAAAAACGTATATCAGATAATAAAGTTTATCTCTTCGAGCAAGAAATAATGGGAAGATACAGAAGGAAGAAGCGACAGAATCCTTTTGAGGACCGTTCTCGAGTGCGCAATTTGTGCGAAACTTTCTTTTCGCGTATTCGATCACGCGGCTAGCGAGTGTATAGCGTACAATTTATCGGAAACAATATACGGCGAAACAGAAAACTCATAGCCTTCGCGTTTCCACGGCGCAAGGGATATTATATTTTTCAAAGCATGTTTTCAAAGCGAGTTTTTTTTTTTTTTTTTTTTTTTGGAAATGTAGATGTTCAAAAACTTTTTTCAATAATCTAATAAAGCAATTTCAGTTAAGATGCGCGTAATGTTAAAATTTATTTCCATAAATTTAAGTATAATACACTTTGTTTGCTATTTCACTTTGGCATCTTAATATACATTCAGTTTAATTGAAGTAAATTTTTTTATATATATTTAATACCTATTTACTAATGATGCAAAATTAAATGATTATTGAAAGAATATATCTATTAAGAATTAATAAATGTTACAGACTTTATTATTCTAAGCATTTCTTAAAATATCAAGAAAAAATTTAAACATTTAGCAACTTGAATTTGTGTATGCGATAGAATATTTAAAAAAGGACACAATTATAATTTTCGATGCCGTAAGATAAATAATGACATATATATTAAAATCCAGTAGAAACTGAGCCTACTACTCGAGTGTTAACAATGAGCTGCCAATAAGCAGGCCCCGCGCGAACGAAACCCGGCCGCGAATCAATCGACATCCATCTCAATTATGCGCGTCATACGCGCAAACAGCCACGCATTCGGCGCGCACATATGCAGCCGTGTGCGTGCTTCACCGACAATTCCAAGCCGGCTGGAGACCCAGGACAATGCATCCCGACCAGAATAATTCACCGCGGCCATTATAGGCCGCGGCAGGACAAGGGCTTTATTATTGACTTACGACTAATAGTCACGCTGTGGATTACGCACGCGTGTGTGCCTATGCGCGTCCGTGTGTGTACGCAGCACACACAGTCAATGTGTATGCACGTCACCGATCTATTGCTCATTTGCCGGGGTATGCTGATTGAACGAGCCGACCGATGAGACCTATGAGCCTATGAGCCCGCGATATCTTGCTTCCTGACTCCCATGAGAATTCGGCTGCCCCGCGAAAATAAATCGCCGGTCAATGCGTGTCAAGTCTCTTTCCCTTAAATTTTTGCAACTTTGTTCTTGGAATCGGAGAAATAGATTAATTTAACGCCAAGGGTTATTTACTGTTTTGAAAATAAATTACAAAAACTCATTCTATGCAACTGGAAACGTCCTGCGTAAATATATCAATTAAAATTTCCTTCCCATTGTTAAACTTATTTTTATTGATGTGTAGAGATCGTTATAATAATAACAGAATTGACCGGTTGTCGCTAAAATGCACTCCTCACGGAGATATTCTGTATCGGCGAATAAGCATGATCGGCGTGGGGCTCGTCACTGCCATTCTCGAGCAAATGCTTGATAATCTATAAACCAATCATACGGCCCCGTAGCCAAGGTATCCTGCCCTCAGCTGCGTCTGCGCTCCTTGCCTCTTGGCCCATTCTGTGCGGCCAGATATCCGTCGTATCCTCTTGAATGACGTATTTCCATATTACAGCGAGATTAATTTACGCTGTAACCCGCGACCGGGTGTTAAGCAAAGCTGATGAAGTTTGACAGGTGTCAGCTGAACGGCAGCAAAGATGAGGGAATAGTCATTGCACTTCGTTGCACACCTCACTGCATCTACAGACGTTTGCTCTATGACAGACTATGATTTACTTTTGTTCTTGCGGAATAAACTTATGACGTTATGACGTGGATCGAATAACGATGCATAAAATTGAGGTTTGCGGTACAACAACGAAACAATATATCTTTCGCACGAACTGTTTGAGATGCATATTTTCAGTCTGATATTCTTCAATCGGTTTGTCCTATCTCTTTGATTTTGATAATTAAAAATCAGAAATTAAAATATATGAGGAAAATGTCTTGTAATATATTACACCG